CGCCAAGGGGAAAGCGAAACCAAGAAAGTTCATCTTCACCGTATCGTCACAAAGAGGTCTAACTGTCTAGGCTTATCTCGACTGCTTAGCTGTGTGATCTCTTCACTATGTTATGTTATTCTCAGCTTTTAAGATTTTTGTGATTGAATACATTACATAATCTATTTCGTCACAGTTACCACAGAGGAATTCATGGCATTTTAATGGATCTCATGCTTCACTTGGTCTCAATTTTTTTTTGACATCCGATGTTGTCATCGTATAGAAAATGTCTTTCTTTAAAGCTGAAAGGGCTGCTTGAAACAAAAGATGTGAATACCTACAGGAAATAGAGCAGAGCTTTTAAAGTATCTTATTACATTCAGTCTGATTGAATAACCAGTTGATTTCGACTCTATTGCTGGTGACCTTGAAAATTTTTTGTCTTAGTCAACCTGTCAGTTAATAAATACCTTAAAGGGAAATATTTTTACAAGTGTTTTAGCTTCTCCTCGGGAAAAACATTAGCAACCGAACATTTTCAGCTGACAAATAAGCCACAAAGCAATATGTTTTCATCCGAAATATGGAGCTCTTAAACACCATCTCCTCACTCCAACTACTTACAAAAACTCTTACATATTTTCTCAATCTTAAATACCTCAAGATTAAGGAATCAACCTATCGATATGGTTAAAAATTCCAAATTTCGCAGAAGATAACGAATGACAAATTTATCCACCATACTGCTTGCGTGATGTCATACTGGCAGTGGTGATTTGACCAATATTAACCTCGGAGACGCCCACTCCTTCCTGGTTTTAACATAGAGGGCTTAATTCTCGTATGATTGGTTGTTGTTAGGTACTTTGTTGTTCATTTCGAATGTCTTGTGAGATTGTTTTGGTGAGCGTTCTACAAATATGTTTACTCTGCCAAGGCCAGTTGTCCCATGAACCCACCCATGCCTACCGATAGGGTATTTCAGAGAGCGCACTTAGGGCTAAATTTGTCGAAGAGAGACAGAGTCTCAGATAGTGAAATAAAGCTCCTGAACAGACTCTTATTGCCTCCGTTTACGCGAGTTGCTCAAAATAGATAACCAAAACAATCCAACACTCTGTTGGCGATGATTGAGCCCTTCCCCACCCCTCCTTCGCTCTACCTGAGCCTTATGATCCCCCCAAAATCCTCTGACCCCAAAATCTTTTCGTCCTTATCTTGACTAAGTCATCTGCCATCCCCACAAAAACCTCCAAGGAATTCATGGCATCTTAATGGATCTCATGATTCACTTTCTCTCAATTTTTCTTAAATGATATTTTATGTTGTCATGGTAAAGCTAAAGGGACTGCTTGAAACAAAAGATGTGCATAGAGGTAATTGGGAAGAGATTTTAAAGCAACTTATCACACTTAATTGACTTCGATACTGACGCTGGTGACCTTAGCAATTTTTTGCCTTTGTTAACCTGCAAATTAATAAATATCTTTTGTGGAAAGTTTTATGCAAAGATGCTTCATATTCTTTTATCTTGAATTGAAACAGCAATCAACGTATCTCCTCAAACCCTAAAAATGTAATGCCTTTACTGAGATATTCAATTTGTTAACAGTTAACGAAAAAACGGTTACTCGATTTGTCGTGATGGAAATCTAGGGCTAACAAGATTGCGTTACTGCTGGTTATAAAATTTTAAAACCTCATGTGGACGTTTCTTGGCTTTTAATGGTTGAAAAGGGAAATTGCAATGTTCCTCGGTAGACCTTTCTGATCAATTGGATACGATTGAAGAAAGTTTTCACAATGGAATCTCTTTCAGATAGAAGCCAAGCGATAAGACTCTTGGATAAAAAACAATTTTGCCTAAAGTCCTGACTAACACCCCAAGAACTCAGTCTCTGTCATTTTGGTCTTGTCCTTCAGTGATTGACAAACATATAATGTTATCAAAGGACGAAAAATGAATTAGTTGCAGGCATAAGCTAAATGAAAAGTTTAATAAACAGAATGACCAGTCTAGGAGTGATTCTCACTTTCTAACCTTTATTTTTCAATCGAGTGCTTTTTGATTGCGTGTCGTTAAAGCAAAACAAAAGGAATCACAACAATCAATCAGAGGAAAGAAAAAGATCTTTACAAGCAGATGCGAACTCGAGGTAAAAACAACCAAACTGCCTAAAGCGCGGGAAAACGCGGGCGACCAAGTCATGATTGGTGTTACTTTTACATCTAATTGGTTGAGAAAGTGACACGAGCTTTCTGGACCAATTACAGAACGAAGTAGAGTTAAACCGATGCAATCTTGGATTACTTTCGACTCTCTATTGAAAATTTCTCTAAAAATAACGATAAAAACCCTAATTATGATCTACGATGAAACGAGCTCTTCCAACAAATAAACTAAATAAACTAAATAACTAAATACATCGACATCTACAATTATAGATTTCAACTGCAATTTTTAAAATAAATCGATCTACTAAATAGTTTCTAAATCTAAGTTACGTTTAAGATAATAAGGAAATATAAGTGATTTTTACCGTTTTACTCTGACATTCACTACCAAATAAATTGCCCCTAAAATGCTAAAAAGATAAGGAAGAACTGAATTAAAACATTTCCTTTTCCAATGTCGAACAAGACGTTTCTTCCTAAACTAAAGAGGCCTAAATTACCTGTTTAATTTTTTTTTGATGTGAAAAGTGGCAAAAATTCTTCTTTCGCTAAAAAACAGAGTAGCACCATGGTCTTAAAATTAAACAAAATGTTCTTTCGACTGTTATGATATTAGCTACTAGATTCAGTCAAATGAAGAACTTGCGCTATATATATTTTTTCTCATATAACTAATTCACATTGAGGTACCAGCCTGTGAGAAGCAAAGGATTTGTTTTGTCAATTTCTAGCTTATAATATGTTCCACTTGCTCAGCACATCAGTATCTTATGAAACTTATAATTATAATTTTGACATTCTAGGTCTAAGGAGAAATGAATATTAAACCCTCTTCTTTAATAATTCATAATCCTTGTGGAATTCGCTGTTTTCAAACTAAGTTTGCCTTTTATCTCGCAGAGTTTGATATAAGGACAAATTCAATTCTTCTGGTGAACACTGTAAAACTAACATATTTCTTTAAAATAGCTACATATAACTAGTTCCCACGATACAAAAACTC